AAAAAAAAACAAGAAATACAATGATGCAGGGGATCTAGAAGTGGATGAATCCTGAGGAATGATTCAGAACTACACATGTGCAGATCTGAAGTTTTCCTTTCTAGAAAATTAGACATCGGAATGCTTTCACTGTGGATGTCTAGAGTTGCCATCTTTTATGCTATTAACATATCCATCCTTGGAGTAATGGGGTGTTCCGGTGAGATGACTCCACTTGCAGTCTTAAGCATCTGCTCGCTGTAGCAGTAGTTTGAGTATATACTTGAGCCGATATTGAAGTTCTGGTGAACAACCCAGTTCTGCAATGCTGCTCAGCTTGTAAGTATAGGAATTTCTATCGGAGTTTATATAGGTAAGGAGGCAGGAGTGGTCAGGTTTGCTGAAGATTACCTTGGTATGATCGTTGTAAAAGTTCACCTATTAAAAAAAAAGACAGCACAATTCCTTTTTTAATACTCATCACTGATGGCTATTTAAGGGTCTAGCACAGTGATGGCTAATCTTTTTGGCACCAAGTGCTGAAACAGGAGCACTGGAAACCGGTAGCTTAGCTTCTGGCACACACATGCTCGCCAGCCACCTGGTTTTCCAGTTTCTAACGCGCACGCGAATGTGAAGACTAGCTGGCCAATGCGCACATGTGCTCTGGGGAGCTGCTCTTCTGGTTTCCAGCGCTCCTGTGCGCGCGAAGATCAGCTAGCTGGTGTGCCTGGAGATGGTTCTGCGTGCCACTTCCGCCTAGGTTAGCCATCATGGGTCTAGCATCTCTTTTTGGATTCTCCACTTTTATATTGTGTGCATCTACTGTAGATTAAGCACAAATAACCCTTCTTCAATTATAGAGTGCTGTAAGCAATGTTACATAACTTCGGCAGTAATAGTCCTGAAATTTTAGATCTGCTTTTTGGTAGATACCTTTTATATTTTAGATGTGGATTAAGCATATAAGCATTTCGCTAGACTTACTGTATTTCACTTCCTGCTAAAAATTGACAGGAAATTGAACAGCTGCTATTTAGTGGCTTGCTACTGAATTCTGGCTATATGATCTTTGTGGTTATGGAGACTGTAAAGAATATGCGTGCCACACCCCTGGTTAGCACATTTGCTAGGGACACTATGAGACTTTGGCCGTAGTTTTCTTCCTCTGTTCCTTCAGTTAAAACACTGGAAGCAAAATGCAGAAGTTGAGCTGAAGGGCTAGAAAACCAGATATACAGAAATGGGTCTACAGGTATCCAATATATGCTAAATTACTATTACAAACAAATATGCACTTATATCCTGCCTTTTCTCCAAGGCAGAAAGTAGCAAACATGAGTTTATTGTACCTATTCTACTCTCAAAGCAATATATAGGATTGAGGGGTTCCCACAAACCTCCTCCTAGGCAACCCCTTTCCACTGTACAGCCTTATATTTTCATGAGGAGGTAGGAGTATTAGGTGTATTCGCCACTTTGCATTATTTATAGAACTAGTAAAGGCAGGAAATAAATAAAAACCTTCAAAAGATAAGCTACCTTTGGCATCTTGCTGTTAATAAAAGATATTGTTCATGTCAGTTAAAAAATGAAGTAGTCTTGGAAGGGTTCGGCATGAGAAGTCTGTCTAGAATTCTCTTAAACAGACAAGGTCACAGGTCATAAATATTTTTACATGAGGGACTTGATGCATTACACACCTGTAAAGTTCCATTGCTGAAGAGCATCAGTAAAGCCTGATTAGTCTTCACCCACTGTAGGAGCAGCAGAGGCAGCTGTCCAGCCTCTTCTACGCTGGGCAAATCTCCACCCTTTGAAAGAGGACAGAAAAGTTAGAAAAATGGACAAAAGAATGATCAATTCCTAACATTCCTCCTCCATGTATTCTCAGCCTTCCTACCAAGATGGGAATAAGCAATTCTTCAACTTTCACTGCGAAAGAATAGCTTAGGTACATCAATACCAGAAACCATATTTAAGAAAAGACAGAGTAGCAAAAATTAACGGCATTCTGGAGAATTTTAGCTCAAGCTTCATTACGCATGTGGAATAGGCATAGCCAGAAGGGTAAAGCATAGCATCTGAGTTCAGATCAGACAGTGGGACCTGCTGATCAAAGAGAAAGGAAGGGAAAGAGGGAGGGAGGATTTAACTATTCTCTTTGAAAGTATTATGAAAGATGCCTATCAACTTCTAGATGAAATTGTTAGAGAGTTGGCAACTCCTTCTGCATTCAGAAACCATCCCAGCATAAGCATAAATATACATAGCATCTCACCTTCATGAGATGCTCCTCCATGTATGAAGCAAAGTATTGCAGAATCCCCATCTGTTCCTGTAGCTGTTCAGGAATTGCTGAAGTCAGGAAGGAGAAACGTTTGCTATTTGTCAGGTTGTAATGCACTTTCCTAAAAGGCAAGAGACTGCACAGTTAGCTATAGTAGCCAGAAGCACTTTGAATCTATTATGATGTACAAACTATCTTCATATGGCAAAATGAAACAGAGAGGTGTCTCCTTATTTTGATTTTTGATTTTTTTGGCCATTCAACAATTTAGCATTGGTAACATCAACAATCCTGCCATATGACATGGGAGTGGAAGTGCATAGCTCCCCAAAAGAGGGTTTGTAATATAGTGATAAATGTTAAAAGGTGTTTTAAAAATGCATGTCAGGCCTTCTAGAGAAGGGGTCCCTAGCCCAGGTCCATGAACCACATGCCATCAACCAGGCCACGCAAACAAGTGGAGCCCCATCTGTGGGATGCAGGCAGCATGCAAAACCACACTCCCTCTGGTCTGTGGAAAAACCTTTCTACCTGAAACCTACCCCTGGTGCCCCAAAGATTGGAGGCCACTGATTTAGAGAGCAGGGCTGCCAAACTTGCAGCCTGTGGGCCAGATGTGCCACACCTGATTTAGCGACGGGGAAAAAGTTGTGATGTCATGTGACGACACAAGTTTGACACCCCTGTTCTAGAGCATCCCAAGGGGAAGAAAAGGCAAGAACAAATCGTTGAGCTACTTTAAGCAGATCATGTCACTCCCCCTTTGTTATGATTTCCTTGCTCATGTCTTCAGTCATCCATTATTTTATTGCCTGTTCTACCCAGTGATTATCATTCGGCCAATAAGTCTGAGCAATAGGTCTTCTGCTGTAGTGCAGAGCAGATCCAAGTGCATTATCAGCCTCAACGATATCCATATACCCTCCTTAGCTCCTCAATCGATCAATTTCTTCCACTTACTTCCAGTCAGCCGAGAGGGACATGTGAGTTCCATCATTGAAGAGGACACCAATGCTGTGGTTGGAGAGCTGGTAACCAAATCCGTACTTGTTCGAATAATCAACCCACTTGCTCACCCAAACAAAATGTTCATGGCAAGCCAGGGAAGCAGGGTTCGTCTCAGCTGGACAATGAACAAAGATACTTATTAATTTAGGAGAAGTTATTTATATTAGATCAGATAATCCTCTTTAAAGGACTGCATCAAAGACAGAAAACATAGAAAGGAGCAAACTAAGATGGCTCCTCTTTCTCTTTCCCAACATCAGCCTCTAAATATGGAGGACCAATATTGAATCAAGAACTATTTCTTATTTATGAAAAACCACTCTCTTCCCATTCATGACCAACTGAGCGTTCAGCAGGGAAAGCTCACATACAGACCTCTTATATGATTTAGTTTCCCCACAAGTTCAAACCTTTTGTAAAGAGCGGTTCAGTTCACATGGAAGCCTTTGCATGCAAATGAAGGCTTCCTTAAGGGCAGTTCCAACTGACACAAATATAACTGGAAAAACAGGGTTCATCCTAGCTGCTTACATGGTCAATTTTAATCTTGAATAGGATTACAATTTTCCAGCGTTTGAAGTCATAGTGAGAGTCCCAAAGGTAAAGATAATTCCCCAGTATCTCTCCCACTATAAATGGAGTGGGGAGATATGGATGATTAAAAGATGTTCTTCTCCATTCCCCCTCCTACTGAACAAATTATCAACGCTTGGACATTAATATTAAAAAAGACTGGGAGAGGGAGGGTGCAATATAGAGCTTTGTACACCCTGTGCTTTATCCTGTTTGATATTAACTTTCAGGAGAGCAGCTCTTTCCATATGGTCCACCAGCCCATTCCAAATTTTTGAATTAATACCCTTTACTTACCTGACGGCATAATAGAAAGGCAGTTCCTCAGGAGCCCAACAGCAGATTCAAAAAGAGCTGATGCTGTGACACAGTCTTCAAATACTAGACAAAAGAAAAATAATGACCCCAGATTATTCCAGCTCCTATGGAGCAAGCTTAAGGACATTCTTGTTTGAAAAGCTAAAAATCTGAATAGGTATGTTATGGAAATTCATTTTTATTAGAAGATGATGTAAAACTGCAATCTCTGGTTTACCAAACTAGCAAAAGTTGATTAGGTTGAACCTCTTAAAACTGTACTAATACCTTTTGTTATTCCCTGCCAAAGCCACGGCAGAAGTCCATCTGGCCAAGGTGCCCCCCCACAACCCTATTTTGCTGTTGTTTAGAAGAGCCATGGAGACCCAGGGACTTTGGCAAGGGAGAACAAGACTCCCTCACTTTGATCCATCTGGCCTGTCACACTTGCCATCTTTTATCTTTTATTTTTCCTGTTTCAGTGGTTTTATTCTAATTTGATTGCTGTAATCCACCCAGAGTCCTTGAAGTTAGGCAACATACAAGTTTAATAAATTGTTGGTCAGAAAGTCAGCTGGATGATTAGACTAAATTTGGCGTTCTTATGCACCTCTTGAGTCCTTCCCAAACACCTGGAGTCGGCAGATGTTGCTTGATGGTGTCAAAAGATATAACCTTTAAGCTGTTCCAAGCAAAGCTGCCTTTTACAACTGACTAACTGTGATTTTGTCAATGACAATGGTCTTCAGATGGCGCTTCAGATGTTTTGGGATAGTACCAATAGCAATAGGTGCCTTGGGTACAATCTTTGCTTTTCTTTGGTACAATCATTCTACAACTATTTGAAGGTCTTTGTATTTAGTGATATTTTTCTCCATTTCTTTCTCTTCTATTCTGCTGTCTCCAGGTATTGCCATGTCCATTTCCATTTTTTTTATCTTTCTTAATAGTTATATCTGGGGTGCTGCATGGCAGTGTTGATCTATTTAAATTTTAAAGTCCCAGAGCAATTTAACTTCTTTATATTATTTTGTCTATTTTGGGGTCCTACCAGTTCTTACTTGCAGGTAAATAGTATTTCTTCCAGATATTCCAATGCACCATTGTTGGTACTTTGTCATGCCACTGATCGTGATCATCTGTGCAATTTACTTCAGCAGTTAACTAGGTGGTCCACTTCAGTTTCTTTGCAGAAGCAGCCTTTGTTGTGGTTTTGTATGCATTTTGCATGTTCTTAAGACTTGATCTTTTGCAGCCAGAATTAGTCTGTTTCTTCAACAAGACCATTGCCAGGTCTTGTTGTTACCTGTTGTTATCTCTTTAAATTACAATCCTGATCTCAGGTATTTGCAAGTCTACTGCTTGTCTATGAAGATTCTCTGTCATCAAATTCATAGTTGTCCCAAAGGTGCTTTTTCAAGAGGCAACTGGGCTTTGCTTTGTTTTTCTTTGAAGACGTTTCGCTTCTAGTAAACTCCTTCTTGCTGGATTTAATCCACTTAACCAACTGTGTGTTAGTTTAAAGATAGCCACTTCATTGGGTGAATGTATTCTGAACATCAAAATTTCCTATTGGAGATAGCAGTAGTTCTCACCTTCACAGCTACTAGCTGTTGTCCCACGAATGGATCTGGAGATGGACTTCTGTGAACTCTCTTCAGCTACAGTCTCTGCAGGGCTACAGCGAGGACTCTGACCATTCAGAGGAGTGACCTTAAAAAAAAAACCAGTCATTTTAGACTATATCCTTCTATCCATCGGATCTTTTATTTCTTGTTGATTTCAGTGTATACTATTAATCTTTCTTGCTTCCCCTTCTGAAAGGGCCATGGGATCAACAAAGTTCCTAAAGTTAACTTACTTCATTTCCATCCACAGTTTTGTGACTTATTTGCCTACAGATAGAAGTCTTTACAAGGCCCGATACCAGCTTAGAGATGTCATCTTTCTCTTCAGAAGCAGCCTTCTTAACTGTGTGGGGGAAAAATTCAGAGGAGTTATATAACAGGCAATCCTATAAGTGACGAAATGAGTTCCAGAAAGATAATATCTAAAGGAGATTGCATTAAAACCAGAAAACTACACTCTGCTTGACCACAATTCTATCCAAAAGATGATACCATAAGAATGATATAGATGATAATATAGCCCAATTTACAGCTCCTTTGCCCATTATTTTTATTTTAATTATCATAAATAGCCTGTTGCCAATTCTTTCAAAATTTCCCAGACATGCAAAAAGGAACACCCAAACCAGTTAAAATTAAATCTTCTCTGATGCTTGGTCCAAGATGTGCAATCAAAAGAGCACGAACTAACTGGATAGGGTCGGCATGCTACTACTTTTTTGTCTAACACCATTTTAGGATTTTAGGAAATATGTCACACACTAGGTCACACCGCAGAACTCACCTTTGGACTTTCTTTTTCTAAAGAGTGTCTTTGTGACCTTTACCAATAGGCTCTTAGCAGGGTTGGGAGGGCTCAGTTCAGGCGCCATCATGCAGCTGCTAGATGGGAGCTTATCTGGTGTGTATGCCTAGAAAGTTAAAGTTATTAGTGAAATTAAACCAAGTGTCAGAGCAAGAAAGCATTCATTATATTTCCATGTTTATTCAGAACTCTCCTATGCAGGTTTGAGATTGGGCCACTTTCATCAAATATTCCAGAGTCATGGATTTTAAAAAACTGCAGGAGGTTCTGATTTCAGAGGCAAGGATGGAACAATCAGGCTGGTCAGAAAACAAAAGCCAAAAGCAAAGAGCAGAATTATGTGAGCGTTAAGTGTTAATTAGAAGCAGGATGTAATTATCTAAATTACAATCCAGGCAAGATTCCAGGAGCCCACACCCTTAGTGATAGGGGCAGTGATGTTCTTGCACTTCTAGGGCCCCAATGTTGGCTTTACCTGCAGACTTCGCCTCTGGAAGGACAGTATCCAAGCAAAAGATAGAGAGACAACTACCGATGGGTTATACTTTGTAACAGCCCAGTTTGTGGTCCTGGCATCACTGCGCCAGAATTAAAATAGTGGACTTTTGAAGGGACCGCCACTAACCTTCGTGAAAAACTCATGGTCCAAGATTTCTTCCAATGTGAAGCGTTCTTCTGGATTGCGTTTCAAGATGCCAGTGAGGAGGTTTTTGGCTGATGCAGAAAGGAACGGAGGAAGCGTATATACAACATATTTGATGCAACGATAGGTCTCCTTGAGATCTGAAGTCTCAAAAGGTGGGTATCCACATAGTAAAGTGTACCTAAGGTGTGGGAGGGAGAGAAAGAAGAGGGCAAATGATGAATGCTAAGGAGGTTGAAGGATACCACTTGTCTGCAGTCAGCACTGACAGGCTCTCTATTAGCACTTGACTCAGCAGCAACCACGGAGGAAGTTGATGTTAGACAACACCCAGATTTAAGTTTTCTCTGTAATCAAGCTCATGAGACATTGCTATTCCTTCAAGTGCCTGCAGACCGGAGGCACATCCGGCTGGCAGATGACAGCGTTTCTCCATGTGATCAGAGCTAAGAATCTCTTAGGAACTAAACTTTTCTGGAATGAATCTGAGCTGAAGCCCAGGGAGTTCTTCCCCTTAAGCGCTTCTCAGTGAAGATCCCGCTCCCCTTTCTCAGCATTTAGAAGTACATTTTCCATATGTGCTGTGTAAACAGGAAACTGTGGGTAACCAAAACAAAGCAATCTAAAGGCTCAGACTATTTTTTTCAAGATGCTCCGGAAAACTGCTGAATAACACCTGAGAGTTAGACAGTTACCCTGTGCACTGCAGAAAAGCCACTTGTTTCCATTTGTTTTGAAGAAATTAGAAAGCAGATCATTAAAGTTTAACGACAGCTCTTAATGTTTTGAGTTTTAAAGCAGTGTTATATACATTTATGCTTAAAAGCACATGAATCACACACAGTTTGAACTCCATGATTTACATACAGTCTAGATCAGTGGTTCCCAACCTTTTTTTCGCCCCGCACCCCTAAAGAAATTTCACTCGAACCTCGCGCCCCCTGAAATTTAGACTTTAGGAACTACTGAACGCGTTAAATATATGGTAGGATTGAATCTTTTCAGCTATGTATGTGATGGCCACTAAATAACGATACTTAACTCTAAAATGAAAACAAAGTTAATCCATTGCATAATAAATAAAAATGCCAACATATAGCCAATATCCTATTATTTACCTGGACTTTTCTCACCCCCCCTGGAATATCGTCTCGCACCCCCAGGGGGTGCGAGCACCCCAGGTTGGGAACCCCTGGTCTAGATAATCACCCGAGCTTTTCTTGAGGCTAATTTTTAAAGACTGCCAGTACAATGAAACCAGACTGTTATGGAGACCTGGTATATTGGGCATCAACAAGGGACATCGACTCCTTTTAATGCCCTCAAGGAAACATTTTTGGAGAACCATTTGTCTGAAATAGTCTATGGTCCAATTGTGCAGGACGTTGGACTAAAAGACCTCCATGGTTTCTTCCCATCCTGTTATTCTGTTAGGTTTCATCAGAAGTGGATGTTATAGACATACAGAAGGAGTGTCCCAAAGGTGTTTTTTCAAGAGGTAACTGGGCTTTCTGGTTTTTCTTTGCAGACGTTTCGCTTCTCCTCCAAGAAGCTTCTTCAGTTCTTCTATGGAAGGAGTATTAAGATTTGCAGAAATCAAGAGGGAACTAAAACAGACCTCACTGCAATCTACTGCCTCCATGAAGTCCATTTTGACTTGGGATTACATGGTACTCAAGGAAGTGATTGATTTATATATCCCATTGCCAGCTATTTGTCAAAGCTTGTGGAAGGCTCATAGAGTGCTATTGTGTAATTCCTTTGAAGTTTCCCCATAATACTCTGCTGAAACTTTTGCTATATTCTATTCATTTTACTAGAATTTCTATTCAGGTTCTTAGACCGGTCTTACCTTTGGCCTAACTTCAGTACTTTTAACTGACAAAACTGAAGCAGACTTTTAAATGGTGTTATATATACATGTGCATGCACCTATTAATGCTTACTATTTTATTTACCCATATGAAAGAGCAGATCTCTACAAAAGCTACGCTGCAGAAGCAAACAATCAATCGTAAAGTTTAAGGTCTAGACTTACATGACACAACCCAAAGACCATACATCTGATTCTGGCCCATGTCCTTGTCGCAATAGTACTTCTGGAGCAAGGTAATTTGGAGTACCACAGATAGTCCTAGAGGACAAAAGTACACACTATGAGACAATGAACCAAGCCTAACATTTCTGCAATTCGCTTTCATTCCATTTATTTCGACAAAATATTTATTATGCCAAGGGACACCTTTTCCCAACCTAGTATCCTTCATGTGGTCAGGATAGCTAGAACTTTCAGCGAGTACTTAAGGGTGTACATTTAGGGGGTAAAGGTACCTAAAGGCAATGGACCTGCTACAGCTGCCACTACATAGCAGGTCCAATAAATAGGACTAAAGTGTTCCATCCCTCCCCCCAAATCCCACAAAAACAGCCTCTCAAATTAGCCAGATATTTGATAAACAGATGCTGTCAATACTGGAAAGAAACACAGTTCCAGTAAATCAAAAATGAGCTTTTAAAGAAAATCTATATAACCAAACTATTTTTTTAGTTTATTTAGGGGTAATTTTTTTAAAAAGCTATAATTTGATCCATTCATTGTTAGCTCTCAGGAGAAATTAAAGTTTTCATCAAGGGTGCCAGTAAACGAAACATGATTTGCCATTTTTTTATTTTCTCATTTCTTTTATTCTGCAGCTAAGCTTCAGAAACCTTCCTTCCTCCAGCCACTTCACAAGTCATATGAACACATTGTTCCACGAACAGAACCTGCAAGAAGCTTTTTCACAACTTCCCAATGAGGAAGTATTCTGCGCCTAACAACCTATGCTGGTAGACTGACACCGCTTTCCCACTAATACGCATTTCTGACAAGCATGATGGCCAACTCCAACTGCCAACATTTGCACGGAGCGTAACACAATATAAGCTTACCCATTGTTTCCCTCTATGGAGCAAACCACAAGGTCTCAGCCTGAAACATTACTACAGACACCACATTGTTTCTTCGGTGACCAAGTTCCAGGCTGATGCAAAGGAGTCTATTTCAAGCCCCTTGGCCCCTATTGCACTCAGATTCTTCCCCTCCCCCAACACACAGCTGCAAAGAATGAAGCATTAGGACAATAAAGCTCTGTAAAAGGAGACCGTTCACCCTTATTTAGAATAAAGGCGCATTAGAGAACCTAGTCCCAGAGAAACACAGCAGGGACTGACAACATGGACCTGCAAACGCTAATGTTTGCATTGGTCCCTCCTTCTAATTTTTCTAACCCATCATAGTCTCCTTTGAAAAAGCAGAATTTAGAATATCCACTAAAAATCTCCTAATTTTCAGTCTTGCAGGGGGGTAAAGAAAGGTTAGGCAATTGGGAGATATTATGCAATACAGCAAAGGCCTGAGAAACTGCTGATGCCCAGCATAAAAATGTTGAGCCACTTACTTTTTTCTCTGATCTGCAGGCTCCTGGCGAGCGGCCAGACCAAAGTCACCAACTTTCAGTTCCATATTATCATTGATAAAAAAGTTACCTGTGGCAGACAAATTGTTTATTTGCTTAGTTTTTATTAGTTATTTCCTGCCTTTCTATCTCAATTTGACATTACAAAAATATTCTCAGAGATCATACCTCTCTGACTCTAGGCCAAGTTCCTAATCCTATATAAGTGCCATGTAAATAAAAAAGTTTAAACTGAGTACCTTTTAGCATTTAGAATTCCAGTTTTTGTTTTTTTGTTTTTTAAAAAGAGAAGATCTTAGCATGCAAATTTAGAGAGATTATATTATGTCTCCTTAAGGCAATTTCATTCTCAAAACAACTATTGTAGTTAACATGTTCGATATATATTTTTGGCACAATTTATTTTACTTATGAGTAAGAGAACAGCTGTGCTGTACATACCCAATTTGAGGTCTCTGTGTAAAATGCCCTTAAGGTGGAGGTACTTCAAAGCCGAGATTATTTGTTTGAGGTAATACCGAACCTCTGACTCCAGGAGGGTATGGCGGGACTTCCAGATATGTGCCAAAGACTAGAACAAGACATAATAAATCATGAAGAGGCTACAAGCAGAGTTCAAACTAAGTTCAAATCCCCACTCCTCCGTAAAATTCAGGGGTAAATGTGAGCCAATTATTAATCTAATCTGGTCCACATTTCTTCGATTTGATGAGATGGAAAACTTTAAGCCATACTGGTGGTTGGTGACAGAAAAAGAACTATAAATATATGGAACATAGGCATAACTGTCCAAGTTACCCATGAACCTCATGACCAGTTAAAGGGCTGCTCCTCAACTCTTTACATATCAGGCATGGACAAACTTGGGTACAATAGATTTTGTTATACTGTAACATCTTATCTACTTTATTGGTTATGCTAGAGATGACAGGTGTTGAATACATTTATGTCTTGGTGTTGCTCTTCCAAGTTCTACGATTCTCCCATTCAAAGTCAGTCTAAAATGTTCTAATTCAAGTATGTTCCCATTTGATCCCAAACCCTCCTCCACATTCCCATCTAATCTTCTCAATGAAGTTATGATGAATCTACATGTTTTTCTAATTTTTTTCTCATGCTCCAAATAAAATCCATGCGATACTTCCATGTCCACTTTCTAAAATTCAAGATACTCAAGTGACTAGAAATTTTATTTTGTGGGTACAGTAAATATGCTAAAATGTATATGAACTACACAAAGGAAATTTGTTATTAAATATTAAGAAGGTTCACCAAATAAATTTTCAAATCTTAATAGCCATTTCTAACAGAGGTCATTCTTCTCTTAAGTAAATGGCATGAATTCTGATGTAACATCTACAAACACTATTCCTACAAGTAATCCTTGCTGGACAGTTTAATACCCACTCTGATGTACCCCAGAGCAACTGAAGCCATTAAGATGCCAAAAGTTGACATTGTTTATATGATATTAAAGTGCAAATAAAGAGCAAGTAACTAAAATAGAACAAATGCTACTTATGGTAGACCTAATGTCTATACTGAAAATACTTCTATGACAGATTCTTACAAAGAACATTTTTATCACTGTAAGAATACTTTCAAAGCAGAAATGAATTTAGGAAGACAAGCAGGAAGCATCACAGTGGCAAGCTGCAATACACACCTTCAGTATTGGTAAGCAACCTAGAAGTGAACATCTTTACTACCAACATTGTGAACAAAGTTTAATAAAAATGGACCCTGCAAGACAATAGCACCAAATAATTGTTCCAGAGAGGGCATAACCTATAGTGAACTATGGTGAACCTATGGCACAGGTGCCACAGGTGGCACGGCAGAGCCATTTGTGTGGGCACGTGAGCCCCAGCCAAACGTACTTGCATTGTGCATGTGTGCACCTCCCAGCTGATTTTTGGCCCATTTGAGGCTGTTTTCACCTTCCTGAAGGCTCGAGGGAAACCTCTGCAGCCCTGGGAGGCCGAAAAATGGGTCTTCTGGAAATACCAGAAGTGCCGAAACGGGCCTTTTTTCAGCCTCCCAAGGCTCCAGAGGCTTCCCTCAAGCCTCCAGGAGGGCGAAAATGGCCTCAAACGGACTGAAAATCAGCTGGGAGGCATGTGCATGCACAGTGCAGGTGAGGGGGCGGGGTGTTGTGCACACATGTGCAGGGGGGGCAGGGGGCATTGCATTGTGGGTGCCATGCGTGCGCTTTCGGCACACAACAAAAAGTTTCGCCATCATAGGCTATATGGTCCATAGAAGAATACACAATGCTATAAAATATTTTTGCTCCAACTGGTCATGTGATAGCAGCCCTAGTTTCATTGCCTAGCAGAGAGCTTCCTAAGGCTTTGATGAAACAATGATGGTGAGAGACTGTTAAGGCATCAAAAAACATACATATTTGCAAAAGGAGAAGACTATAATATAGTAAAACATGCTTCAATTCACTGAGTTCAGACACAGAATGTAACTTAATACTCACTTTCCTACTACAATGCTCAAGGAAAATATAAATGTTGTCTGCATCTTCAAAATGATGTGAAAACTTCACGATATGTTTGTGATGCAAATCTCGGTGTAGTTCAATTTCATTGATGATCTGAAAGAGTCACCAGAAGATTACAGTTCAGAACCAACATCTAACACAAATTGATCACTTATTCTCAGCCTGCTCAGGTCTCATACCTTCTCACGTTGGTGTGGTTTAGCCACTCTGCTGTGAGGGATAACTTTCACTGCATATGTTGTGTTGCTTGAGAGGTCAGTTGCTTCATAGCATCTTGCAAATCCCCCCTGCCAATCAAAAAGCAGAAATGACCTATGTATGCTGCAGGAACTTCCCATTTTCCTGTGATGCCCAAGTAAAAGATTGGAAGGCACTTATTCAAGACACCCAGATTATTCTGAATATTCTGAACATAAGACTAAGTCAAGGTTCTTGGCCATTCTTACTTTTTTTTTTAATTCCCTGCCCCGCCACCTCCCTGCTCTATGCCAATTTACTAAATTAGCTAATGGCTCACTGTTAAAGAGAAATGAAAAGTCACAGAAAAGTAGAAAGCATCTACAGGTCTGGTCTCCAGTTAAAAGCTTCAGAGAGGAATAACAGGCAGGAATATTCTTTGTCAAATAGATTAATGTCCATAATAGCCTATTTATAATATAGCAGATTTTCTCAGACCTGCTTTTTGTGACAGCATTGAGCAAAACAGACCTAAAACTCCAAGATAAATACCTTGTCAAGAGCACAGCGCAAATGGTATGAGTACATAATTGCATAAATAGGATGAGGTCACCTAGATATATATCTGGGCCGTGTTTAATGTCAAACTCTGATACCTTGTGTTAGAAAGATGAAAATGTGTCCAAAACTTTTGCCCATATTTGTCTCATTGTACCTTTGACTCAAATACATAGCAGATTTAAATCAGCTGGAGATGAGGAGATGAGGCCCTCACCTTGTCATTTTTTATATTTCTACAAATGTCCCTGCTTCACACTGTGCCTGTGTTAGATTTTGTCAGGACAGTCATATTCTGGTTTATGGTCAAATTTTAACCACAAAACTATTACTTATAAACAGCAAATATAATGGTAAGAAACCGAATCCAACAATAAATATCTAAAATAACTTGGATTATTTGGCTTGGAGAAAAGATAAGCTTTCCTTAGATACTGCACCCAAAAAGCAAATTTAATTTTTAGAAAGTTATTGGTGGCAGCTTGCTGACAATAAAATAATACATTTCAGAAGATAATATGCTTCTTGGAAGGCATTCAACAGAAGTGGGTGGCTAGAGATACACTTGATGCTGATTCTCATACTGAGCTCTTATTCCAAATGTTAAAACAACATGCTTGATGTGCAATCAAATATTTAATTGCTTCCAATGTTTGCCAGAAATGCGCAGGTATAAATATGATCCAGCAATTTGAAATATACTATTCGTTCTTTGTTATGTACTATTTTAGGATATAGTTTTGCCTAGGGCTTTGGAACTTACATTGATGCCTTTGGGTTTCACTTTACTCACTGGTAGGCTTTTTTTCAACAGAGAATGGCTAAGCCTTGTTCATATGACACCCAGAATAAAATTACTCTCTAGACAAGTTTTTCCAGCAGCATAGAAAGTACAAGCTTGGCTGCACCATACTCCTTTGTTTGATGTAGTTTCACACCTAAATAACATTTTGGCCAAGACAAACCAGTTTCTCTGCACCAGAAAATCCTGGCTTGGGTATAGTCTTTACAGAAACAATTTAGGCTAGTATCATCAAAAACAACTGATAGCAATAAGAAAAGTGTTTCCACACACTGCCACATTCAATGCAAACTATTGTTTTTGATATTAGATGGAAACATCACCATAGCTAATGAACAGACACACTGCTTTATATAATGTAGGGCAAACACAACAAAAATTGCACCCCTTCTACCAAAGTATAATCTTTGAAATGTGATCAGTTTTCTCTGGCAGAAATTTTCAGCATAAATGCTGTTTTCTCCAACCCATTTAGAAAGCCAATTATGTATATTGCTCAACAAGTATGCCAATTTTGTACAACCAAAAAAAAGAAAATATATTTTAATCAAAATATTCTTGCTTTTACAGCATCTTAAATATAACAGATGCCTTTTTATTGCATAAACTCCTGTGGATCACAATGTGTTCATGAGATGGACGGACTATGGTCACAAAAATAGAGTACATTCTGATTCTGTTAGGATGAAACTACAGAAATGGCCATTATCAAAACAATGAGAAAATGTGACATAGACCTATTTGTAGTGATCATTCATTTGTATGAAATCCACTTCTAGGTACATCCTTTAAAAATTAAATAAATTTCCATGAGTTATGCCAATATCTTTGTAGTGTAAGACCAGATTAAGAAAATATACAAAAAACTCTGCTTAATCTTGGAATTCATCTTTAGTTCTTTTTTCACAAGACCATATTGCTTCTTTATTGCTTAATGAACATTAAAAACCAGCTATCAGTTTCTAAAGAAAACATTTGCAAAGCTTCAAAATGCTAGAAAAACACAAGAGTAGATTTACGTATGGCACTAAATGATTTATTTTCAAAAAAACATGGCTTGGTGGAGAATGTCATAGTCACATTATGAGTACAGAATTCCACAGCCTCCACCAGCAAGTAACACAGCCTTGTTCAATGTGATTCGGTTAAGTAAATTGAAACCTAGTTCCTAAAATTCCCAGCCAGCAGAGTTTTCAGTCATACTAGCTATAAGTCACAAGGCTTGAAGTCCAATGCAAGTGGAGAATACTGCCTTTAGATTCAAGCTATTCCTATTGAGTAACTTGATATACCTGTCTGAGCATGAAAGAGTCATGTGAGGATAGTCCTCTAAATGCCTTTGGCATTTATGCCCCACCTTTTCTCTGGGATGCTCTGGGTGGCTTATAATGAGATAACCCTCAGAAGTCTGAGGATTAAGCTAAGCTCATTAATATTTTTTTTAAAAAAACTCCATATATAACCACAATTCAAATCGAGGCCACCCAGTCCCAAGTCCAATTTCTGTGGCAGCTATTTATTTTTTACTAGAACTCAAAACCATTAAGTTGGGGAGATGGTCAGCAAATAAATAAATTAAAAATAAAAATTGGAGGCCTAGTAGGTGAAACACACACTTATCTGAAGAATTCTAAACCCAGAAATTTTATATAACAAAGCTGAACCCAGTTTTCAATCTTCATAATCCAGAAATCCATTGGCACCCAGCCATCTTCTAACTACACTATATTAAATTACATTTGTTTGGCCAATGTTATTCTATTGTTGTGATCGCATTACTTTTGCTTGCTTAACCATGGTTTATTAAATAAACCACAGTTGGTTAATTAACCCAACCCTAAGTGATGTAAACTACTAGAAGTTGGCCACTGGGTCTAGTTTCTGCTAATCCCTCTGGTCAAGCCAAGAAAAATTCTCTGCCGAGGTCAGCCTTCACAAATCCCCCAGAAACACAGTTGTATGAAAATTTGCTTGCTCACAATTAAATCCAATCTTCCATCATCAAGCAAACAAGTCAGCCACAAGAACTGACTCACATACAAACCATAGGCTAGTGTTAGAATTCAGTGTCTTGTGAATGCAGCCCTTCGGGGGCAAATCCTTTCCGGAGTCAACAAACTATCTGCAGGATCGAGATAAACTATCATCTACCGTGTTGTAACAAATCCGACTAACAAACCAACCACAGGCCCGGATTTCTCCAAAAGAACCCTCTCAAGAGAGAATTGGTTTCTTCACCATGGCAAACCTCTTGACGCTTTTAAGGGAAGGAGAAGAGGGAGAAGAACGCACGGGCTCATGCCGGCGGCGGCGGTGGGAGAGAGGGGAGAGCCACCCAATGGGGAGAGCACAGCAGGAGTCGTGCCCAGACAGGCCTGTCTCGGATCAATCGAAATCTCGCTGGGAACAGAAGATCCCCAAATCGGGACGAGAGAAAAACCCAGGCCAGGAGGGGGGGGGGAGCGCTTTTTCCTTCCCCCCCATCACAAACCCCCTCCTCAAGTTACCGCACTTATTATCGCGTTCCATCATTCCCAGCATAAACCGCTCCTTCAACCCATTTCACCCGGTCGTGTGAACGCGGTTTCATTCAAGCCCTTTTCCGCGCCCAGAACAGAATGCCAGCCAGCTTTGGCTCATCCCTCGGATGCGGACTTGCAGAGCGGCAGAAGAAGCCGCGATCGCTCCCTTCCAGCGAAACCCCTTCCCCCTCCCCGTTGCATATGCCCCGGGCACGTACCTTGCCGAGCAGACGGCCTTTGCTGTAGGATCTGCCCGTGACTGGGTCGCGAATAACTCGACTGGGTTCGGCCGGTCGAGATGGCTCCCTACGGGTGGATTGAGGCGTCTGGATCGCGGGAACCGGAGGTTTGTACAGATCCGAGGCCATCACGCACTCGTTGAAAGGATGAGAGGGAGGGAAACAAACGGGCTCCATGACAGCCCGGCTTCTTCAATCCCTCCGAGAAGGGAAAAGGTCAGGCCCGGGTCCCGGCGCCTTCTCCGGAGCGCTCGCAAAGACACGTGCCCCGCCGGCAAAAGAAGTTTCATCGACTCTTCCTGCGCCTGCCGTCAGGGAATCCCGGGACTTTTATCAATGAGTGAGTCTGACGTCATCGAATAGGAAACCCCTCCCGCCCAAACTCGAGGGCGGGAATTAGTCCTTAAAGAGCCCGTCACCTCTCTTGAGACAAAAGAGAGATGCGAAATATTAGATTCCATTGAAAAAAGAAAAAAAAAAGGGGGGGGGGGAGGAGAATCGGAAAGCTGCATCGATGGAAACTTAAATTTATAAAATTTAGAAGCGGCGCTTACAGTCGCCGGGGAAAGGTTGCCCGATTTAACACCTGGCGTTTCTGCTTCCCACATGCGATTGAAAAAGGAAGACCAGGATTATGGGGCAATAAAGACTTCGATAAAGGAGAGTGTAGTTGTAGTTCAGGCTCCTTGGTGCTCTCTGAGCTTGTTTTCTTGCTGATGTTTCATTCCCCTCACATCCTCAGGGTTAGTCTAATAAAGACTTCGTTTCCCCTCTCTTTGCTGCTCTCTAGAGGCCGTTTGGAGTTTTGCTCTCCAGAAATTGTGAGTCTACTTGTTTTTTTTCTATCTAGGCTTGGAGCCCTGTTTAATGCTGAGAGACAGCTGCCATCTTTGGGATCTGATGAAGAGCAAACTTTGTAAACCTGTGATACAAATCTGAATTCGACATATCCAAGATCGCTGCTGATTTGATTCTGCAGGTTGCAAAAACTTTTTAACATAATCAAGCACATGTATCTAATTAAACTTAGAATATAACACATCACCGGAAGCTATGTTATAGTTTGATTTTAACTGTGTGTCTTCCAGACACTCAGCTATTGTGATTGGCAAACAACAGCAGTAGTTTGAATGAACTGCTGTGACTTAATTGTCGTTTATTCAAGTAAGCGTGGTTAACAAATCATGATTTAACACATGTGAACCTGATTCCAATGGTATTCACATGATACATTAGCCATGATTAGTTTTAGTGTACTCAGAACATCTGGCTAGATTCATGCAATACACTGAATTATAAACTATTCACATTGGCTGGACTATACTACAATATGAGTAAAACCCACCAGGCTAGGCTAAAATAAGTTTGGCAAGCATTCAATGACTCATATGAACTCAGGCCTGGGTAGCCTTGAGCCATTCACTACTTCTAGCTTAACCAGCTTCTGGTTTTTAAAACCAGAAGACAATATCTGTATTGGATACATATTAGAATCATTGTGTAATAATTAGGGTAGATATCATGTAACTTAAAAAAGCATGATATTGAATGTGCAACGGATGTGCAACTATTTCCAAATAAGCATTTATAGTGGAATCTGAATTACTCACTCATTCATACTTTACAGGGCCCTTATAATGGCATTTATTTCTAATCCACTATATTTCCACAGTTCTATTTTTATCTGATTCACTCAACAGAAAAGGCATGATTTTCCGGAAGCACAGAATATCAGCCTCATCCTAATGTATCTTAGCATTATGCTTATATTTATGGGTTTGCTATAAGGAGTAAAAGTATTAAAAAACTTCAGCATAAAACTTTCAATTAAATATAGCAGTAAGTATGATTTTATTACCATTTTAAATAAATGACTAGGATTTTTTCTTTGTGTGAAATGCAGTATTCCATGTATGTATATGTGTAACACACATGTGTGTTTATACATGTTTATATGTATATGTGTTTATATGTGTGTGTATTACTGTGCAATTTGAGGTATAGTACCTGAAACTTATTTGCCAACTAAATCAGAAAATCCCATAAATACCATTATCCTTCCCTATCAGTAATTACCATTTGCTGCCCTGTCATTAATTCAATGATCAGCTGTTCAAAGTAATTGTCTTAGTTGGCTGCATTGGCATAGAATACTTAATTATGATTAATTTAACTACGGTCTATTCAATTGACTCAACTTTTTCAGTTACATACAATGAGTTGCAGACAAACTTTGTGGGCTGTATTTGGACAGTACTATTGGCTAGTCTGGATCCCTGAGTGCATCACCCACTTTACTGAGTCAACTGTAACCCCAGCATGTTTGAACCCCAAAATGCAGGCATTATGTACAGGATTGTTAATTCCTTTGGGATTCACACATTGTTGGAGTAGAAGAGAATGTTACATTAGCCTTCCCTTCTGAACTCTGTCATAGAGATGAGTTGTTCGACAAGAATGAGTTGTTCCAGTCACTCCATCCACTGTCATTTGGACATTTGGATTATGGGTTGGGGGATGGAAATTGGGCAGGGCAAGTATGGCCTCTCTCTTAGTGGCATGAACTCCAAGGCCAATTAGCCTTCCTGAGGGCTTTAGTGAGTCATGAAACCATTCTGCCTCATGGTATGGATGATCTGCCCCCACCTTTTAATCACCATAGCAACCCTGTGAAATAGGTTAAGACTAAGACTAAAGCTAATTATGTGAAGTATACCTCTTTTACTTTACATTTCATGGGTTTTCAAATTTATTTTAAATTTAAACTTTAGACAAGGCAAGTCACTACAGGATTTTTTTTTTCATTTGCTTGTTAATGTTATCATAAGGTTAGCATTAATTGTTTGGTACATTCAGTTGATTAGCTTAAATAACTTTGCCTAACCTGCTGGCCCATGATCAGGCTCTGATTGAGGAAACCCCAGATCCTTCCTAACTTTGGAGCGGTTAGCTCTGATAAAAATTACAGCTGTAAAATCATCCCCTGGCCATGGGGCAGCTTGCTTCCCCCATGGTCACATGACTGCATGTTGGGCACTTGGCAACAGGTCATCTTTATGACCAGTTGTGGCATTTTGCAGTCACATGACTGTGATTCACAATTGTGTGGGGTTTTTTTTTTTTTTGCTAGTTTCCAAGCATTTTTCTGTCAAAAAACTCTTATTTGAATGGATTGGGCATGTTGTGAGGATGGCTGATGGGCGGATTCCGAAAGACTTCCTGTATGGAGAATTAGTGCAGGGAAAGCACCCTAGAGGGAGACCACAACTGCGATATAAGGATCTAAAGGCCCTGGGAATGGACATCAACAGCTGGGAAACCTTGACCTCTGATCCTTCAGTTTGGAGGCTAAAGAAGCAGCATGGTCTTCTCCAATTCGAAGAGGCACTAGTTTGGCAGGCTGAGGCAAAGAGGCAGTCCTGGAACCAGCGAAATCTGGGGGCTAGGCCGGGGACAGTGTACAGACTGCATCTGTCCTTAGTGTGGAAGGGATTGCCACTCTTGAATTGGCTTTTTAGCCACACTAGATGCTGTTTTAGGACCTCTTTTCAGAGCACGATACCATACTCTTTTGAGACTTGAAGGATGCCAATATATCACTTAACTGTCACATTCGCTTAAACATCTGTTGCAAAAAAGGTCATAAAATCACTTCACAGGCACCTACAACTGCAATGACTTACAACTGGATTTCTGAATGAATAAGAATACTTTTTTTGCTTCTTGATCAGATTACATTTTTACTTGTAAAGGTATAAATCAAGCAATTAGGGATGAATGGAAAGTAGGGGTTTTTTTTGTCTATAAGGTCTTACCACAGTTTACTATGGAAATGAATTTTAATATGGATTTCTAAGGTCATCTATTGAAAAAAAAATATAGTTGATTATTGTTTCCTTTAACTGTAACTATCTCAAAAGTAACAGAGAATAGAAGAATTCCAGGCTGGTTTTTAGTATAAAGGTGAGTAAGTTTATAGTTATGTCACTTCTGCATTTTTTTCCAACTGGTTCTTGTATCACTGAAGCACAAGACCAACACAAATTACTATAGCAACAGTACAGTGGAACTAAGATAAAGGGAAGTGGTTCCTGTTGTAAGGGAAAGTTTTTAAAGCTACAGCAACTCCTAAATAATTAATCGTTACAAAATTTGCAAGTAAAATACTGCCAAAGTGATGTGAAAAATGTAGCATTCTAGGTATAATAGTAGATTTTAAATAAACCCTAAGAATTAAAATAACGCTGCTATAGGGAATGAAACAGATGTTCATTAGATTCAGAGTGGTATGTTATACCCCCCTTCCATTCCTACTCCCAGAGAAGATAGTTCTGATTACAATTAAACCTTTTAATAAGTTATTTCCAAACCACTTTTGATTCTTCTATGGTATCTAGATGCCTAAATCAAAACTATGATTTATTAAATAAATCACAGTGGATAGGTTCATATACTGGTAGCATTCTAAGCCGGCTCTCCACATTAAGATTTAATATAATGTATGAACCTAGCCACTCTATTTTTGTAATAATTTTATATGCTATATGTTACTTACTTAACCATAATCGCTAGTCTGGGTTCAAACATGCAAATCTGCAAACTAGGTATGCCAAAAAGAAGCATGGTTTCAGACTGTGATGGTCTCTGTAATTTAACTGCTATTTGCAAACATGTTCAGGTTTGGAAACATTTTGGTGATGGCACCAACACTGGAATTCCTTTCCTTAAGGAGCATCATTTAAGAAAAATGTAACCATTTGCTATATTTTAGCTTCCCTTCACATAGACTCTGGTTTTAATTTGTTGTTTTGACCATTTAATATTGATACAGCATGTGGTTGTTTTTATTATATTTATCTAAAATAAAAATGTACAGTATTGTATTATTACTGCATTGTATACTGATAGTGAAGGCGATTATTTTTTTTATTTGACTTATTTATATTTGTGATAAACCAATGCAAGCCACCATTCTGGGAAAGTGAGGCATAGAATGAATGAAATAAATTCTAAATAAAGCCACATGTGTCTTAAGCTATCTTGACTAATCCAGGTCAGTAAATTAGGCCATTGGGACCCATTTACCAGTTCCCCTTTCTCTAGCATAACTTGTGGCATTTATAACACTTATTTATCTACCATATAACTAATTTAAGCATAGAAGCTTATGGTACATGCAATGGACATGACCTCATCTCAAATCAAACTTCTCCATAATCTTTTTTTTTTCATCTATAAAACAAGAACAGACATTTAAGGTTTCTTAACTATTAAACAGTTAAACAAACTTTGGTGACATT